TTTTTTATTATCATTTTCATATTCTCATGTCTCCTTTTCCATGTTTATCATGTTCATTTTTTTATCTACAATATCTTTATTACCACAAACTTCCGCTCAAGGTGTATTGATGCCTCCTTGTCTATCTCTGGATCAATCTACCACTTGTCCTGCATTTGCAAATTATTCTATATCATCAGAAATAATAACTGCTTCTGATGACACTGGTCAATCATTTGCTTGGTTAGCAGGTGCTTCCAATGTTTCTCAATTTGATTCCCTTTTACGATCTTATGTAAATGATCAATATATTTCATGGAGGTACAACCAATCTTTAGGTTGTTCAAATACAAACACTTCAATGTATGCTAGGTACACTTATACAATGATTTGTGCCGAATTGGTAGAATATTCTTTATCTAGACAATGTAGTAATTCAATTGCTGCAATAACTGGTCAACAAGTCCAAAATTTATGTAATTCTACCTGTGCTTCTCATGTTTCTTCGGTTTTATCTATTGCTTATGATGCAAATGTTTGTCCTCCTCCTAATAATACCGGTCTTCAATCTTTGGTAAATTTAATAAAATGGTGTAGTAATGACTCTAATATCGATTCAAATAATTCAACTTGTATTTCTGGTGATTTAAATGAACCGAATTGTGGTATGTATTGTAATCTTATTCTCTTTTTTTTAAAAAAAATATTTTCTCTTTTTTTTAAAAAAATAACTCGCTTTTATACGTAAGATATGGGTGAAAAAAAGGTGGATAATAATAATAATGATAATTTAACTGATGTCATATCAGTAAATAATACTCATTAACAAATCTAATTTATTATTTGATTAAATTTAAAAATTCTAATATAGTTTGGTTTTGATAATTAAGATAATGGATTAATTAACTACAGATGATAATGGATCGATAGATAATCATATTAATCATAGTAATTCATAGTAATTCATAATAACTCATAATAACTCATAATAATTCATAGTAATTCATAGTAATTCGTAATATTTCATAATAATCTAATAATTCTAATAATTCTAATCATTTTATATATAAATAGGTTTCGGTCAAGATATCAATTCAGTTTGTCAATATTGTAGAAATCAAGCTCAAGACAATTGTTGTCTTCAACCATCTATCATTTCACAATGTAATATCACAAATACAACTTCTACAATAGCTGCTCCAATTCCAACCTCTTCTCAAAATTCGTCAAATTCAAATAATCAACCTTCATTGGCTCTTACTATGTTAATAGCAATATTTGCTTCAATATTTGGTGCTTTCTTATTATTTAGTATAATATTTTGTTGTTTTATTAAAAAAAGCAAAATTCGGAGGAAAAATGAAGTGGCTGGTGGTCCCGATTCAGGTGATGGTGGTGGTGAGACTGGTATTGCTACTAAGAGTATTCCATCTTACTCACCTGCTCCTTTCTATTCTAGACCACCTGGTGGTGGTGATTTTGACCAAAGTTCAGAAAATCTTAGATATTCGGATTTGGTCTCTCCTGGTACTACTGTTGGTGGTGGAAGTGATATTGGTGCTAAACAACAATCTCAACAATCGGTTTCAAATAATGATTCTGCTCCAAGATCTATACCTGAAAGAACTTCTCTTATTTTACCTGTTAGTAATGATTCCGTTGTTACCGCTGAACATGAACGTGTAACCGTGGTTTATAAATATGATGCTACTTTAGCTGATGAATTGGATATTTCCCCTAATGATGTTATCGATATTGCTCAAAAGTTTGATGATGGTTGGGCTGTTGGTATAAATAGAAATACCGGAAAAGCTGGTGCTTTCCCAATGGTTTGTGTATCTCCTGCTGGAAATGTATCTTCTTCTGGAAATACAAATTATGGTTCTTCTGGATTAGCTGATCAATCCGGTGGAAGTGGTTATTCGGGAATAATTGGTAGTAGTGGTGGTGATGAAAACAATACTGAACAAAGTGTTACATTAGAATCAAGTGAACATAGTGGTATACTTAGGAATAGTGATAGTAGTGGTACGGGTGGTGGTACTATTTTAACTCCGGACATTTCTAGAAGAGTTAGTAGTGGAATAACATCTACACTTTCTCCATTACCATCTGATGGTGGTGAAACTCCACCTGGAGATACTGTCTAGCCTTGTTTGTTTGTTGTTTCTTAATTCAATCCCAATAATCCCAATATTACCTAGAGACTTAATTATTCAAACTCTTGGTCCGAATTTATGATAAGAATCTGGTCCGGTTCTGGATCATTCTTTATTATAAATTCAGACAAATTTATAATCAGGTTCGGAATTTTTTTTTTTTTTAAAAAAAAAATAAGGGTCCGCATAATATAGGTGTAAGCGCTGTGGTGTGTAAAATTAATTAGGTTATTTGTGTGTACTTTTTTTTTTTTTCCGAGACTGAGGTTTATGGTAATTGGATAATAGAATTTGTACATTTCCTTCTTTTTTTTTTTTAAAAAAAAAAAGGGTTCTTGTATTATAGTATTTAAAAGTGCGCAATTGCACAACAAAAGTAGATA